TGTGTGTGTGTGTGTGTGTGTGTGTGTGTGTGTGTGTGTGTGTGTGTGTGTGTGAACCTTTCGACACTGTCCATAAGCCGCATGCACTACACAACTATTGACCGTGCCTTTCAGTCTCCCACGCGCCAACAGTCCCCGTCGTCCTTGTCTTCCATGGAAGCTGTCATGCAGAACGTCCTGCCCGCTGCGGCTAATCAGCAAGGGTCATTGCACGAGGACACATCCGCATTCGGCACAGGTGCAACAGGGGCAAGGGCTGCGGCTCCATTCCTGTACTCCTTGCCACCGCAGCCGAAATGGAAAAACTTCAAAGTGCCGATATTTTGTCCATCAACTTCTGGAGGCTCGACGAGGGGCGGTGAAGCGGAAGGCGGGAGTTTTTGTGGGCAAGGTGGGCTGACTGCATCCACATCACTGCCCACCGCCTTTCCCATGGCCGTCCGGTGGGGAATGCCGCTGGAAGGACGCAACTTCGCAACATGGACCGGCGTCCAGAAACAGCAGATGGCCAACGTCAACATGCAACGACCGGCCAATCGGGAGGAGGCAGGGGAGGTGGGTCGCAGGCTCTCCCTTGAGGACTGGCCACTGTGGGGGATTTGCTGCACAATCACCAACGTCCAGGTCCATACACAACGCTGCTGCAATGTCACGAAATGGGGGCGGTCGGCGAGAAAAGTGCGCAGCCATGTGCTTCGACTGCAATGGTGGAGAAGGATGTCGGGCAGGTGGCAGTGATTGCCCCAAAGGAGCATGCGGGATTGCGGACTATGACTTGGTCACTTGGGGGATGCGTGGTCGGGTGGTGCGGTCGATATTGCTGGCACCCAATGTGAAACCCGTGGCAGTGCTGTACCATGTCCAACAAGGATGGCGGACAGAGGGCTACCATGGCAGGTGTTGCGGGTGGTCGTCCTGATGCTGCGGGGAAGGGAAAGTCACGTGCTCCTGACTGGGGTCTTGACGAGAGTGTGGGCCTGCTTTTATTCCTTTTCGAAGAAACGCATATCCGTTGTATTCGAATAGAAGGCACCCTATGTGTTGTCTGCATTGTTTTCGAGTTTTCAAAAAATTCAAAATTTTCGAATAAAGTNAAGTGCATATGCGTTGCATTCAAAAATTTCATTTAGGGCTATTCGAATGAAACGCATATCCGTTGTATTCGAATAGAAGGCACCCTATGTGTTGTATTCGTTTACAAATTACAATGCATAATATTATGCGTTATGTTCAGGGGAAGAAGTGCAGTGCCCTCTAGGGCTCAAGAGGCAAGCTTGACATATGTTCAAGCGAATTTTGTATCATATGATTGGACATTCGACCAGGTTTCCAGCTGGTGCGATCGAAGCAAGGTCTCAATTTTTATCATGCCCTTACCACTCACTGTCAGGATGGAGGCCTGAGGCTTGCACATCTGATTAGTTCAAGGGAATTGAAACAAAAAGAAAACAGAAACCACAGCATGAAAATCTCAGAAATGCGACGATTCATGGGACAATTTTTTCTTTTTTTTCTTTTTCTTTTTAAGCACAAGCAGCTCACACCTATGGTTGTGTAGCTGATGTGTCAGCCACTGCCAAGCTGCACCACTCCTTCACAGCACTACCTGTCTCGATAACAGTCACAATATTGATCGCCAGTCAGATGGCCTCCACCCCCCCATACCTCTTACTCCCCGTCCCCTCCCATTCTCCCCCCTTTCCCCTCCCCTTTCCCCTTGCCTTTCCCCCCCTTACCCCTCGTCGCCCAACCCTCCACCTTCCCCCTTTAACTCCCTGCGTACCCATCTCCTGCCTTCCACCAATGTAGAAACCTTTGCTGGCCCCTCAGGGGGTCACACACAAATTTAAAGTTCATGCACTTGGCTATGTTGATCTGTCTTCCTAGGCTGCACTACTCTAAAGAGGTCGACACCAGCCTGCCAGTGGGAGGATAGGACACCCTTCCCCCCCCCCCTTCCCCCCTCCCCCTCCCCGCCCCCCACAGACACACACACACAGTAGATCCTCCAGTGGGCAACTATGTAGGACACCTAGCTGCTATACTAACTGTCTTCCGCTAAACACATCGCACCCTCATTTTGGCGGTACCTGACCAGAAATATAGATTGTATGCATTCGTTATGATCAGGGTGCGTTATCTTCGGAGGAAGACTGTGTTGGCATTGAACTTAGAATGAGTACTAGTTGTTATACCCCATAGCCTTGTTCAGGAATTCTGCGGTAAGCTGACCGAGGATTTGCTCCTGCTCGGCTTGCCCTATGGTAGCAATCCGGTCTGGAAACTGATAGCCATAGTCCCCAATTTGGTAATGATTTGCTCCCTCCACGGGCAAGAACTTAGTGGCAGTGATGTTTACAACCAATGGATGAAGAGCACTGTTGGCATAGAAATCATCCGGGTCTTTGGGCCCAGTCATGCCATCAAGACTTCCATAGATGTTTGCGACTGGCAAAGCTGATTGTGTCAGATTGGGAGGTTTCATCATCGGAAGACCACCCCACTGTCCAGCATGCATAACCACAGCTTGAATAGGATGACGAGGGGAGAATCCGGCGTAGTTGAATGCGGCCACAGCACCTAACGAGTGCCCGCCGACGGCCCATTTGTCCTGAGGAACGCTTTGGAGTATCGTATAATTAGATCTGATGATCTGGTCTGCTATGAGAATGCTGTCTAAAAACACACCAGAGCGTCTTGGAAACTCCGGAATTACCACCATGTACCCTCGAGCTGCGATCTGAAAAGCCAAGGGCAAGTAGGCTCTGGAATCCACAAACCCCCCTGGGTAATACACATACCCCCCTTTTGTAACATTAGGCTTTACAACGATCATGGAGCGAGCAGGAGAAGGGGATGTTTCCGGCTGCGGCAGCGTTTCCACCTGCACTACCACGCCATCGACCGGATACACCTTGGAGCCCTTATGCCCTGGAGTGAGGAGGTGGTTATCTCCGAAAGACAGAGCTCTTGGGGTTGCCGCCAAAAATTTCCCTCTGCCTGCTCTCCACATGGGGGACACGCATTGGCCCAAAAGTAGCCTATCCTCAATGGATAGTGATAGAAAAGGCCTATAATCATGCTTATCTGCTGCGACGACTTGCATCTGTTCACCCTCTTCACCATCACCTCCATGATGGTCACCATAGATCAGAGGGGCGTAAGAAAGAACAGTGGCTGGCTGCTTGCTTTCAACCTTATACTGACAAGTCGTGAATGCAAAGTCATAGTGGCTTTTGTTCAACAGATTCACTGAAACATGTCCTGGTAATCGGGGAAAGCTTGCCTCCACCATCTCTGGTGTGACCATCAAGTCCTTCTTTCCATAGTTAACAACCACATCGAGATTGTCCTGGCAAGAGAAAATGAATGGCATTAAACAGGGAGGAGGAGGAGTAAGAAGAAGAAGAAGAGGAGTAGGGGAGGATGAAGAAGAAGAGGAAGAGGAAGAGGAAGAAAAGAGACAAAGATGATGATGATGGTGGTGGTGGTGATGATGGCGGTGATGATGATAATCATGATGATGAGATGAGGAGGAGGAGGAGGAGGGGGAGGAGAAGGAGGAGGAGGAGGAGGAGGAGGGGAGGAGAAGGAGGCGGAGGAGGAGAAGGAGAAGGAGAAGGGGGAGGAGGAGTAAGAAGAAGAAGAAGAGGAGGGGAGGATGAAGAAGAAGAGGAAGGGAAAGAAAACAGACGAAGATCATGATGATGATGGTGGTGGTGGTGGTGGTGGCGGTGGTGGTGGTGGTGGTGGTGAGGAGGAGGAGGAGGAGGAGGAGAGAGGAGGAAGAGGAGGAGGAGGAGGAGAAGGGGGAGGAGGAGGAAGAAGAAGAAGAGGGGTAGGAGGACGAGGAAGATGATGATGGTGATGATGACGAAGCAGAGCAAAAAGTACAAGAAGGCAAAGCCAAGCAGCATAGTCAAACACAACAAGACAGTGACAAGTGGGCTCCTTTTTTTTACTTTTTTTTTTTTTTTGTTTGGACAGATTTAGGGCCTCCTTGCTGTTTGTGAGGACAAATTTAGCCCGGTCGGAATAGACCAGGTGCAGATCAGACATGGGCATCTGCACATCCATGTGCGTCAAGGCAGCAATGCAGCAAGGCAATGAGCCAGCGAGCTGCATCGGTGTCACCTTGGTTGCCCAGGCAGACAGGCCGGGCAAGGGCCAGACTCGGAGAGAGAGAGAGAGAGAGAGAGAGAGAGAGAGAGAGAGAGAGAGAGAGAGAGAGGCATCAAAACGGGAATGAATCTTCCCCGGGGGGGGGGAGGAGATTCACTCCCGTTTTCAAATTAGAGCTGCACCGACCCCGCGCGCACGTGCGAGGCTCTCTCTCTCTCTCTCTCTCTCTCTCTCTCTCTCTCTCTCTCTTTTTTTTTTTTTTTTTTTTTTTTTTTTTTTTTTTTTCTTTTTTTTTTTTTTTTTTTTTTTTTTTTTGTTCTTTAAATAGATTTTCTTTTTTTTTTTTTTTTTTTGATGTTTTTGCTCACTTTTTTTCTTTCGTAAATGTAAGAAAACAAAGCTTGTGCTACTACCGGTAGGCACAGGCTCGGCAAGGTTCGGCCTACCGGTAGGCACAGGCCGGGAATCAAGAGCTGGGAAAGGTACTGGTGGTTTAAACTATGACACCCATCCTCACACCAGGGCCGCGGTACTTTCACTGCATTCCGGGACTCGGCGGCTGTTTTCTTTGCAGGCACGTGTTTTTTTCGCGCATTAGAAACTGAAAGGTGACATCTTTTTTTTTTTTTTTTGAAACGGGCCATCAAAGTAGTTTCCCTAGACAAAAAGGGAAGTGGAGCTAACTTCGGAATAGTACCTTCTTGCCCTGTATTTGAGGCATCTTTCAGTCTAGATACCGCTATAATGACCGTATGTTGTATTGGGGGGAAGAAGGTAGGCTGCAGGAGGCAACATGGAACGCAGTCAAAAAAAAAGAGAAGGGGGGGGGAGGGAGTAACTACGGTGCAGTCACGAAAACAGTTTGAAAATGCAGTTCAGGCATTCCGCAGAACATAACACACCCCCACGTGACCCTACCGGACCCAAAACCTTGCTTGTATACATTCGACGTTTTCAGGCCTTTTGCCTGAAGTGCATTTTCAAACTCAAACCCTGACTGCCCAGTATTTTTCCCAAAAAAAATAGGGGCTGCTGGTGATGATCAACCGGCTCTGTTTTCTGTTGTATTGGGACGCCGGACCCGCTTTGCCGCGGGTGCGTGGTCCCACTAGCAGTGGATAGAGGATACGGTCAATCCAGTGTGACACTGTGCGGCAGCGGCATAACAGGTTCATTGGGAACTTTTGGGCAGAGAAAACTGGAAAAGGCATGGGACGCTGGACCCCCTTTCCAGCAGGTGCTGCTCCCCACTAATAGATTGGAGCCATCAACCAGCTGAACCAGTGGGGCCTGCTGTGGGGGGCTGCTCTTACCACCCTAGCCAGCAGCACCCCTGCCCCCTCTGGTGCTTTGATATTAAAAAAAAAAGAGAAAACTGCGGTGCAGTCAGGGTTTGAGTTTGAAAATGCACTTGAGGCATAATGTTCTGTTTTAAAAAAAAAAAAGGGCCGGTAATGGTGAATGTATACAACCTGGGTTTCGGGTCCGTAGGCGTGTGTTGTGTTCGCGGGATTGCATGAAGTGCATTTTCAAACTGTTTTCGTGACTGCGCCGAAGTTACCCCTAAAAAAGAAGGGGCAATGGCTGCTGGGTCACACATACTGTTTCGAATAGGCCCGGTTTCCGGCAGGTGCCACGCCCCACCAATAGATTGAGCAGCCCGACAGGCAAAGCCTAAATTCCAGTGGTTCCCTCACCACCATTGGGATAGTGGAATTGCAAATGGCCTTTCACAAAAAAAAAAAAAAAAAAAGGAAAATTAGTAATTACTAATTACTGAAAATCCTCGATCCCATGGGGTCTGCCCAACCCCGCCTCTTCTTGGGGTTGGGCATACCCCAAAGGGATAGAGCAATGTCTTTTTTATTGCTCGAAAAACCGGGTGCATCACCGGGCTCACGCCCCGGGAGTCCTGCTTAACGAGGTGATAAGAGCATTTTCTAGTTTTGGGAAGTGGTGTGGACTCTCTGGGTCTCTCTCAGCCCGAAAACAAACCCAAATAGAGGGAAAATGCAGTTGATAAAGCCACGGACCAAATATAGAAAAACCCATGGTGTCTTTTTTTTTTTTTTTTATGTCCAGGTTGTTGTAGAGGCGGGATGCTAAACATAGGACAGTCACCCTCGGTAGTCAGCCATTGGTTATGCAGATGGTCCCTAACCCTTATGACACTCCTTCCCAACCTTCCAGTCTCATTATTTTCTCCCTAGCGCACCCCTACTCCCACAATCCTACCTCAGTGTTTACCACTCAGGAATATCACCCTCCTATTATGTCAACGGGGGAGACCACACCAGACAGCAGTTGTAGGCACCAGAGCTAAGCAGGAACTGACGACTGCTTTCACGGACGAATGGCTGGGCCCACAGAGAGCGATGGCGGATCTTCAGGACAAAGGGATGAACACGAATGGCCCCTTAAGCCGTATTCTCATTTCGGGATCCCCCTTGCAGCAGTTCCTCCCTCTTTATCCTCCTCCCCGGATGATTATGTGGATGCCCTTTTCCCCCCCCCTCGCCCCCCTGCTTCGCCCACCCGCCCTTCTCCCAGTCACACCCCCCACCCCGCCTACTTTCACCATCGGAAGATTGGAGGTACAGCGAGTACCGGGCATCTGCAGGAACAGACTCGATAAGAGACAGCGGCAGAAGGAATCACGAGACGCAAGGAGGTGTGTTGTGGAGTGCTGGCCTGCATGACCCCCAGATCACACAGATCACATACAGGTCATAGGCATGCAGAAGGTGTCTCAATGTCGAACGGAAGGGTCGACCACCGGGGGAGGGAGCAGGCTGCTGCGTCCGGAGGATATGCTGTGGAGTGATGGGCTGTACGTTCTTCACGCCATACGCCTCATACGCAGATTACAATTTTCCTCATCGATGGCCTGGAGAGGGTTAGGGGTTTAGGGTTTAAATAAGGCTGGAAAAGGGTTTAATCTTCGTATACAGGACAAGGCCTGGGGTCTAGGAGTTAAATGATGCTCAAATAAAGTCTGAATTTCCTATACATGAGATAACAGACTGTCGGCAACAAACTGGGAGCTGCGTTTTTGGGCAGGTCAACAACATAACAAGTGCTCCATAATGGGACGGGTAACATTAGCAGCTCTGAGGGAAATGGGGTCTCGGGTGGTAAAAYRAAASTTGGTCGTYGCCCACAKTAAGTGAYAAGCAAACTCTGTATTCCATGATGTACAAYGGGAMGCTGGACCCGGTTTCCAGCAGGTGCCGCTCCCCACCAATAGATGGAGCAGCCCGACTGATAAGGCCTCAATCCTGACGGTTCTCTCACCACCGCCGGGATTGTGGGCTTACGCGGGGCTTTAAAAAAAAAAAAAAAAAAAAAGGACCTTACCCAGCTCAGCCCTGATTGAAGCATAGTTGGACGACCCCTGTCATACGGGGTACTTTGAGCACTAGGAACAGATGTTCTTCTACAAGTCCCATACTAGGTGGACCCATTCCTGTCACCCACGTAGTTGTGCTGTTCTTTATATGCATCCTTGTTATTGTAATTGCAACCTGGAGGTTCTACCCTATTATCAGTAGACCTCCAGCCACCATCCGCTCCTATAGACATCCCCCTAGACCCCTCTTTTTTAGTCACATTGTTGTGGTAGTTCTTGTCATTCCTTGATATTTGCCAGTTGCTATTTGTTAAGCCACCAGTATTTCCTGAAGTCGTGCCCCTAAACAAGAGGCGGATTTAGGAAACGTAGAGGCCACTACAGAAGCGCCCAAATTCTTTCGACTAGAAATGTTTCTACTCTATTTTTTTCCGCGGTCGACAGTTGGGCCAAGTACTGGTGGGTTAAACCAACAGTACTTCCTAGAGTTGTGCCCCTAAACAAGACGCAGCTTTAGGAAACGTAGCGGCCACTACAGAAGCGCCCAAATTCATCCGACTAGAAATGTTTCTACTGCATTTTTTCCCGTGGTTGATAGCGGGGCCAAGTACTGGTGGGTTAACACGGGAGGCACACAATCCTTCCCTTATCTATCCCTAGGACAGCCCCTACTGCAAGATCCCCCTTCGCAGAAGGAGACCCTACCTGGGGACTGCACTACCTAATCCCCGGATTCCCCACTCCATCCTACGCCTCGATCTTCCCCCCCTTTCCCACTGGCTTCCCCACAGCTTACCCCTCTTCCCCCACCACCATTGCTTGGTACGACCCCGGCCCCCCACCATCTCCCCCCCCCCATCAACCCCCCTCGAAACACAGTA